CACCTCGCTCAGCCAGTGAGCGGCCGGTCTGTATGTGGGATCCGAACCCTCGGTGGGAGCCAAGCGGCGCACTGTAGCAGTGCACCACCGGGCCAGCCCAAAGCCAGTGTTTCTTGTAGTAGCCAAGAGCAATGTGATTTGGTGGAAAGATCAGAACCTTGAAGAGACATAGTCCAGATTCACCACTTACTGGGGATGTGACCTCAGACCAATTACTTGCCCCTTTGTGCCTCTCAGATTCTTCACTGGTAAGCTCCTGTTAATGGTACCCACCTGGGAGGGTGGTTTGGGGGCTGACTGAGATCATTTGTAGGAAATGGTTATTAACCCTTAGTCTGCACTCAAGAAACACTACACCAGACGGCTTAGGAATTCTCCCCACTGAGACCTCAGGTTTTGCTGTGAACTTTGTTGTCTCAAGGTCTGGATCTTGTTTTCTTGATTATGATGCTTTTAAAGCCTTCCTGGGGAACTCTACAAGTAAGAATTAGGTAATGCCTGCAGAGTGGTCTCATCTCCTTAGAGGAAAAACAGAAATATTCAAACTGTACCTTACTCTCATTTTTGAACTTGCCAATTTTACCATTTGCCATAAATTGATGAAATGGGGATTCTGGCAAAATAACAGGTACGGGCTGTATTATCATTGCTTATTCCCTGGGGAGATCTAGAACCAACTGGCTGGGATATATTTAGCAGAATTAATACTTGGGGACAAAGACTGGTGCATAACAAAACCATCGTGTAAATCAAGCTTAGAATGTAAATCAAGGGCTCCATTAATATTCTGTATTTTAATGGAAGAAACACCTGCTGGGCTATCAATAAAGGAGCTTTGCAGAAATCTGTTGAAATTGTCATTTCCTTAACTACTTGAGTACCAGGTCTCTCTAGAGTTCCCACAATCAATTTCTACACCAACACACCAGAATGCTTTTTTTCCCCACCAAATGCTTTTAAGAATGGATTATTATGCATTTAAGGGCATGGTAGGGTTAGTTTTAGAGTTAGGAAAATGACTTTTTTTTTTTTAGTTTTATTATAATATAGAAAATGGGAAAATATTTTTATGATGCTATTGCAAACTTAAGTAACATTTGAAAAAAAATCAAGGTACTTGACTTAATTTAAAATAATGACTTACATCATAGTATAAAACTCCAGACTAGAGACTCTGGAGTNTTCATGGAAGCTTAGTCTAATGGCACTTTTAAAAAATCAGATTCCAGGAACAGAGAACCAATTAACTTTAAATTCTTCTTAAGTGTGTGAGTCCTAGAATGATTTGAGGATGATGTAGAATCCTGGAACTTTAGAACAGAGGAGAACTTGGAGACAGCCTCTGCAGCCTTTGGTTCACAGATGAGAAGCAGCCTGGAGCAGGGATGAATCTGCCACACACCATCAACTGGCAAACGCCTGAGTACAGGCCAGGCGCCAGGTCACCTCTGGTCTATCCTGTTGCATGAAGAGAAGACTGGTTGGATCAGCCTTTGAGCTACTACAGCCTTGTAGGTTTGCTGAAACAGGTACCCATCCTCGTTATTTTATAATAGGGAGACAAATACAAGAAGGACAGTGATTTGCCCAAGGTCAAGCTGAATAAAACCTAGTCCTGATCACTAAGCCAGTGTTTCTTGTAGTAGCCAAGAGCAATGTGATTTGGTGGAAAGATCAGAACCTTG